TCCTTACCCTCTGAGCAAGTTGGTGACGTATTGAGGAAACGAGGGGCATTTGTAAAGTGTTGGGTGGTTATCTTGTGGCAAAAATTAGGGGTTTATGATGTGGATAGATGAGGGACTTTTTTTTTTTTTTGTAGGTAGCAACATGGGCTGTCTTGAAGGTCTTCCTATCACGGAAGCAATCTGTGTCCCACTTGCCCTGTGCAGCTGTCTTCTGTCACCCTCCTTGGCCACAGAACTTGAAATGATCAGGCTCTGATGGCCAGGACTAGGGTCCTCAACACTGTTCAAACCCCTCAGTTTAGGGCCTATTCTTTGTGCTCTCTTTGAGACCCATTTGATAATACACCCAGATAGGTACTGTTCTTACCAGTTAACCTACCATTCTGGTTATCTCCTAGGGACTCTGGAGAAAGAAATCATAATAGTGGCCTGAGCTTGACTGATGTGAACTAACATATCTAGCTGAACCCTCCCTGTGTATATATGAATATGTGTGCATGTGTGTGTTGTATGTGCACATGTTACTGTTAGTGTGCATACATACACACATACTTGCGTGGAGATCAGAGGAGGACATTGAGTGTCCTGTTTTGTCATTCTACGTTATTCCCTTGATACTGATGAACCTGGCCAGCTGGGGTTCTAGGCATGCATGTGACCTCTGCCAAAGGAGAGGTTTGCTTTTGGTTTATTTTTGTAGAGATGGAACCCAGGATTTTGCATGTGTCTTGCAAATTCTTTAGAGCCAAGCTTGTATTCCAGGCCACCTAAATGGGGGGCTGTGGTGCAGCTGGTTTGTTAGTTTGCATGGGTACATCAGAAAGGTTCCTGTGCCTCCTGTGTTCAGAGGATAGGCCACGGGGCTGGCTGTGATGCTCAGAGAATACTGACTCCTTCATCTGTTCTATCAGATTCCTCAGCCCTGGTAGCCCTGGCCCTAGCCCTGCCCTTGTTGTCACCCACCACTGGTGTTTGCTTGGTGCCAGGTTCTAAAGGAGCACCTATGGCAACTGGGTAAACAAGCACTCTGGGGTCTTATCATCATACAGACCCAGCCCAAAGATCACCTTTATCTTCTGTCCCAGGAGGGGTGTGGTCCCAGGCACCAAGCTGGAGGCACCTTCCTGGAGCCCTCTTGGAGCTGGAACTAGAAGCACACACTTGTCCTAAGTGAGGCCCTGCTCTGGGCTAAACAGAGCAACAGGGGAGCCGCGGTCCTGTGAGCACTGTAGGCCCCTTGCACACTATTGTCAGGTAGGGATCAATTTTCTTTCTCTATTGAAATGATAGTCTTGTAAACTAACACGAACCACTTTAAAGAACAACTCAGAGGCATTGAGTTTATTTGGTGTTATATAACTGTGACCTTTAGCTATTTCCAAAACCCTGTCATCACCTCAAAGGAAATCTGCACTAGGAAGCTCTTGCTTTTCCTCTGCCTTCTTGGAACCCCTGGCAACTGAGTCTGTCCTGGCCACCTCAGTTTACCCTTTCTGCAGTTCTATCGAATGCAGTATTTATTGCACAGCCTTTGTGGCTGCCCCTTTCTTCTGACAGCATTTCTGGTAGTGTTCCAGGCTATAGCTGGTCTTGATGTTGTTTCTCTCTATGCTTAAATAACACCATTATCTGATTCTGTTTATCCATTGATCAGTTGATGGAATTTGAATTGTATCTAGTTTTGACTATTGGAAATAAACAGTCTTCTGTTTCTGTTTGTCTTCCTTCCTCTTTCTTCTAACTTCTGATCGTCTTGCCTGCACCTCCTGAAAGCCCTTTTAACTACTCTGCAGCACTCCTACTGCTTTATATAGTTTATGCTGTGCTAGGGATGGAGTCTAGGGCTTCCTTCATTCCAGACAAGCATTCTGCCAACTAAGCCAGCCCCCGCATGTTCTTTTCTTTCTTTGATATCTTGCTATGCTATCGAGGTTGGCCCTTGAACTCCTGGGCTAAGATTCAGCAACCATCTTGGCCTTGGCCTCCTAACTGACTGCAACTGTTGTAGCCCCCATACCTGACTGTTTGCAAACAAGCATTTGTTTGCAGCCCTGCCTGCTGTTCTCTGTGGGGGACATAGCTGGGGACAAAGCTACTGTGTCAGGTGGTCAGTGTACTCACCTAGTTACATCCCCTCTTGAGATGTTTGCTCTTCCACATCTCTCCATTTACTTGCTTCATGTCATTGTTTAAATTGTAGGTGTTTTGTTGACCCTATGAGAAGTGACATCTCATAGACAGTTGCTGGAGTTGTTTGTTTTCATTTTTATTTTGTTGTATTATGTTTATTGCTGTGATGAGCCCTTACCTCGAAAGTACAAGGCCCTGTCTGCCTTTTTTCCCCCTTCTTTTTTCTTAAGATCAAGGTTTCAATGTGTAGCTCAGGGTGGCCGGGGGTTAATTTTTTTAAATATTTATTTATTATGTATATAATATTCTTTCTACATGTATGCCTGCAGGCCAGAAGAGGGCACCAGATCTCATTACAAATGGTTGTAAGCCACCATGTGGTTGCTGGGAATTGAACTCAGGACCTTTGGAAGAGCAGACAATACTCTTAACCACTGAACCATCTCTCCAGCCCCCGGGGGTTAATTTTTTAAATTACAATTTATGGACTGGAGAGATGGTTCAGCTGACTGCTCTTCCACAGTGCCTGAGTTCAATTCCCAGCACCCACATGGCAGCTAACAAGTGTCTGCAATCCAGTTCCCGGGGACCTGACATCCATGGCAAAACACCAGTACACATAAAGTAAAATACAAATTACAATTTATAGTTCTCATATTTAGTTTCATAGCTAGGACTCCGTTGCAAATCATAGTCACAGATTTATCCCTATGTTTCCTTCTAAGAGCCTTATAGGTTTTTTACTTTTGTTTTTTAGATATGAGTGTTCTGTTGGCATTATATCCCACTTTAGATGATTATGAACCACCATGTGACTTGAGAATTGAACTTAGGACTTCTGGTAGAGCCCCCAGTGCTCTTAACCACTAAGCCGTCTCTCCAGCCCCATCCTGTAGGTTTTTAAATTACATTTGTGTGTGTGCACACATGTGGATATCAGAGAAAGATTTTTGGAAGTCAGTTCTTTCCTTCCCAGGAATTCAACTCAGATGGTCAAGCTTGGTAGCAAGTGCCATTACCCACTGAGTCATGAAACTCTTACTAACCCAGGAGTCTTCTAGTTTGAACTCTTGCATAGACCAGATTTCATTTGAGTTAGCTCTTGTGGTGTGAGGTCAGGATCCAGTTGCATAATTTTCCAAGTGAATGTCCAGATGTTCTAGTGTTCCTTTATTCAAGATGCTTGTTTCTTCATTGGCACCCTTGTGGGAAGTCGCTTGGCCATTAATGGCAGGATTTGTTTCTGTGATATGTTTCTGTTCTGCTAGTCTATCTTGTACTTTTTGAAGACTATATTTTGATTACTGAAGCTTTGTGTGACTCTTGAGTTGGAGACTATTGACTTAATTGTTCTTTTCACCCGATTTTGGCTACACGGCGCTTGGAAACATGTCTTCAGTCACATTTCCACCAGTGTATTTTCTGTTTTGCTACTTAGTTGGCAAGCATGTGAGAGCATTGGTCCAGTGAGTTCACTCACTGCTGCATTTGTGTTCTAGGAACAAGGGTGTCGGGGCTGTGGCTTTAGCTCAGTTGGTAGACCACTTATACACAGAGCCCTGTTTCTACTCCAGCACCACATAAACCAGGCACACCGTGCGCACCTGTAACCCCAACTCTTGGTGCAGTGAAAGTGGGAGTTCAAGCTGCATAGAGTTCCAGGTTAGCCTGGGCTACTTGAGACCCTGTGAGGGGGGCAGTGTTCTTGGAAGCCCATAGAGCCAGTGTCTCATTTCACATCATCTATCTGGTGTAAGGGATTCAGGCCTGGGTCTACTGGCTGCCTCTCTTGTATCTCCTTCACTCTAAAGTAGTTCTCAGTGGTTTTTCTCATCTGGTGTTGCCCATTTGACGAGACAGACTGGTCCATTCCCTGTATCTTCTAGTGTCTGCTGTCTCCTAATGAGTTAAGGTTAAAAGTGTTTCATGGGGGCCCTGGAGATGGCTCAGTGGAGGAAGGTGCTATTGCACAAGCCTAGCAACTGAGTTTGAGTCCCAGGATCTACGGTAGAAGAACCAGCTTCTGACTTCATGCTTACCAGCATGCACAGGTGCACGTACACAAACACACACATATGCAATACATATCAATAATAAAATTTTAAAAGCTTAAAACAGAAGTAGTACTACACAGGTGCCGTGGGATAACAACACTGCTCAGTCTGTCCTTTTCCTAGGGACACTGGCTTCATCTTTCATTTACTGGGCTCTTGTTGAATAAATAACTAGAAAATATGGTTGTGATGGGCATGTCGTGCTTCCTGGCTGCTGGGCCATGTAAGTGAGCATACACAATAGCTCCTTGGATCCCTGCCCCACAACCAGCCCCATATGAAACATAAGAAACACCATGGCTTGCTGTATCCTACCGAGGAGCTGTAGGGGACCCAGAAGTCTAGGTTGCATGGCCCATGACTAAGGACACAGTCACTGTCCCTGAGAAAGAAGGGTTCTTGGTTACTTCCATCTGACAGCTATAAAGCCCAGTGATCCTTTGTAACTCAGGGACCCTTTGGCAGGATCAAGATTCCAAAGCCCCAACTCCTTCATTAGCCTTTAGTTGTCTGTGTTTTCCTAAGGATGTCTCTACCCCTCCTTAAGGGTGACTCTGCCTGTGCTCTCCCCACCTGTTGGTTTATATGGGGACTGGGGGGTCTCTGGGGGCCCAGGCCTTCACCTGGGAACATGCTTGTCTTCACCTATGAGACACTGAGCTCCTGAGGACCCTGGTAGTGTCCCTGCAGTATAGTCATCCTTACTCTTCAAAGTATTTACAAAGCATCCTAAAAGGATTGGGGATCAGGGACACACTAAAACAAGGCAATCACCAGGCCACTGTTGCTCATGCCAGTGTCCCCTCTCTCTTGCAGATGAAGATGTGTGTGTGTTCAAGTGCTCAGTGTCCCGAGAGACAGAGTGCAGCCGTGTGGGCAGACAGTCCTTCATCATCACACTGGGCTGCAACAGCGTCCTCATCCAGTTCGCTACACCCCACGGTATGTGTTTGGCTCTGTTCTGGAGCCTGGGAGATGGAGAAGTGGTCAATTAATAGGATCACTTGCCACACATGACGATCTGAGTTCAACCCTTAGCACCACATGAAAAGTTAGGCTTGGTAGCATGAGTTTGTAATCTCTGAGATTGCCAGAGATGAAGAGATGGAGACAGGCACACCCCGCAGCCATACTGGCCGCCCAGCCTTGCCTATCAGAGCTCCAGGACAGAGAGACTGCCTTAAAAGGGTGGACATGCCAGATGGTGGTGGCTCCAGAGGCAGAGGCAGGCGGATCTCCAGGAGTTCAAGGCCAGCCTGCTCTAGAGAGCTAGTTCCAGGACAGGCTCCAAAACTACAGAGAAACCCTGTCTCAAAAAAAAAAAAAAAAAAAAAAAAGCCCAAGGTGGACATTTCTTAGGAATGACACTCAAAGCTGACCACCCACATGCACAGGCACCACCACACATACACATCCTATGCACTTGTAGTCCCAGTTGCTGAGGAGGCTGAGGCAGAAGAAAGGATCCCTGCTTAAAGACATGAGTATAAGTTACAGTCATAGCCTAGTGCATTGCCTCAGCTTCCCAGAAGGCTAGAATATGAGAATCACTTGAGCACAAGAGTTTGAAACCATCCTGAAAAGCCGGAATACCAAGATCCTTGATCCTAAAAAAAGAGGGAGGAAAAACCTAGTTGAATGAAGAGACACGTCCTCAGTATGAATGTATTTTTGATGTTAAACAGGTGCCCTGCTGTGGATTCTCTGGGTCTCAGTTCTTTGACCGTAACTCCAAAAGGGTCATCCTGACTCTCTTGCCATACCTAAGCCTCTTAGAGAGCTAGTTGGGTTAGGCCTGAGGCCAGTTGTCTCAGCTGTGGCTAGAACCCCCCCGGGGAGGGGTGAGATGTAGCCTAGAGGTAGACAGAGGCTTCACTCTGATTAAAGAAGCCTTTGGGGACTCTTAGCAGGCCTGTCATTAGACATGATTTTTTGTTTGTTTGTTTGTTTTTTATTTTTTGAGACAGTTTCTCTGTAGCTTTGGAGCCTGTCCTGGAACTAGCTCTTGTAGACCAGCCTGGCCTCGAACTCACAAAGATCCATCTGCCTCTGCCTCTTGAGTGCTGGGATTAAAGGCGTGTGCCACTACCAACTGGCAGACACCTGAGGTTGTTGAGGATGACTTGTGGAAACCCAGGTGAGCATAACTGGGGCCCCAGGCTTGTGAATGTCCTGTGACAGGACTTGGTCAGTGGAATGCCTAGGTGGGTCTGTTGGCTGGTACAGGGAGGGGGCTGTTGGTTTCCCAGAGCCCTTCACTGTCTCCCCAGGAGGTTATCTGTGCCTCTAATAGAGCTGTTGCCATGTGAAGTCTTGCTGCCTTGTCACTTGCACAGGCATCCTCAGGCCTCTTCCTTTCCCCCTCACCTTGTCCCCTTTCCTCCCCTTCTTTGTGATCCTAACATGTAGGAAGTAAGGCAGAAGTATTAGGAGTGCAAGGTTAGCCTCATGTTGCAAGTCTAAGAGGGAACCTGGACCACATGAGACACTGTCCCAAAAAATTGAAAAGCTTTAAATTTGAGGGACTAAGATGTAGCTCAGTGGTTGAGCCCTTGTCTGACATGCTTGAAGTCCTAGCCCCATCTGCAGTCCCAGCTCTCAGAAGGTGGAGGCAGGAGGACCAGGAATTCAAGGCTAAATAAACACTCATAGTTTTACATGCACATGCAACATAGCTCATGGAAGGGGCACTTCAGCCATTTCAGGAACAATTTAGAATGTATTCCTAGTGGAATAAGGTCTGCTGGGATCCAGATTTGTGGTTGATTTGTTTAATTTTTGTGTGTGCGTGCATGTGTGTGAATGTGAATGTAGGTGTGCTTGTGCTGGCACACTTGTGGAAGTGAGAATAGCTCCATATGTGTCAAGTCATCATCTTTTACCTTGTTTGAGATATAATCTCTCAATATTCAGCACTGAGCGCACCAGGCCAGCTGATCCACAAGTTTCTGGGGATTTTTTTATCTCTACATTTAGAGTGAGAGACATAACACTACTACATCAGGTTTTTATGTGGCGTTTGGGGATCTGAACTTAGGTCTTTATGCTTACATGGCAAGCACTTTACCTACTGAGCATTCTTTTTTTTTTTAATATTTATTTATTTATTGTGTATATAATATTCTGTCTGTGTGTTTGCCTGCAGGCCAGAAGAGGGCACCAGACCCCATTACAGATGGTTGTGAGCCACCATGTGGTTGCTGGGAATTGAACTCAGGACCTTTGGAAGAGCAGGCAATGCTTTTAACCTCTGAGCCATCTCTCCAGCCCCCCTGAGCATTCTTTCCAGTCCCCGAATCTATTATTAAAGAAGTGCTAGAGGCTGGAGAGGTGGTTTAGCAAATGAAGATCTGCTATACAATCTGATGTCCTGAGTTCAATCCCTAGCAACCATTCAAAGATGGAAGGAGAGAACCAACTCCACAGAGTTCCTCTGGCCTCCACATTTATGCTTCCACATACATAACATACACAGTAATAAGTAAAAATTTTGATTTGGGATTTTTTTGGGGGGGGGTTGAAGGTTTGGGGAGCTAAGTTTTCTCTGTGTAACCTTGGCTGTCCTGGGACTTACTGTGCATGTGTAGACTAGTTTGGTCTCAAATTCAGAGATCTGCTTCCTAAGTGCTGGGATTAAAGGGGTGTGCTGCCACCCAGCTTAAGATTTGTTGGAAATAACTACCACCAGGGATTACCATCCACATTTTAAATCTAAAGACAAGGCCAAGAGAGAGATGGTTCAGCAGGTAAGAGCACTCACTCTATTCCCCATACAGCAGCTCAGAACTGTTGGCAACTCTAGTTTGAGGAAATCTGAAACCCCCTCCTGGTTTCTGTGTGAATGAGGCATGCAAGTGGTGCGTGCAGGCAAAACACCCATACCCATAAAATAAATTGCTAGGGAGGAATGTTTGGAGAGATGGCTCAGTGGTTAAGAACTCTTGCTGAGGACCCAAGTTCAATTCCCATTGCCCACATAGCAGCTCAAAACTGTTGGTTATTCCAGTCCCGGGGTATCCAAAGCCCTCTCAGGAACTCCTTGGGTGTTACAGACATATATGCAGGCAAAACACCCGTAGATATAAAAGTAAATTAAATTACAAATCTTAAAGGTAATGTTACCTGGGATTAGTTCAGTCTCAGGGAGTTGTAGTCAAAGATTTTTCTTTGGGCTGCCAGCTCACAAATAACAACATGAGACTTGTTAATTTTGAAAGTTTGGCCTTAGCTTAGGCTTGTCCCACTAGCTCTTATAATTTAAATTAGCCCATTTATTTTAATCCACATTCTGTCATGTGGCTTGTTACCTCATCTCTCTGTACTTTCCATGCTGCTTCCTCTGTCTCTGTCTGGAGACTCCACCTTCTGCCCAGAGTCCTGCCTATCTATACCGCCTACCTAGCTGCCTAGCTGTTGACTGTTTAGCTTTCTTTTCTTTCCCTCCCTCCCTCCCTCCCTCCCTCCCTCCCTCCTTTCTTTCTTTCTTTCTTTCTTTCTTTCTTTCTTTCTTTCTTTCTTTCTTTCGGTTTTTGATTTTTTTAAGACAAGATTTCTTTTTGTAGCCTTTGCTATCTTAGAACTAACTCCATAGACCAGACTCAAACTGGCCTCAAATTCATGGAGACCTGCCCGCCTCTTGAGTGCTGGGATTAAAGATGTGTGTCACCACCACATGGCTTCCTGGCTGGCCTTTAGTTAGTTAGTTATTAGTTAATTTGCATGTATCTGTTATATGATGTGTGTCAATGCACGTGTTTGTATGTATGGGAATACACATGTTAAGGTGCGTAAGCATGCATGTGCATAGAAGTACTGAGGCCAGAAGCTCTTCACCTCATTTATGGAGAGAGGACCTCTCACTTGAACCTAGAGCTCATTAGCTGTGCTGGACAGGCTAGCCAGTGTGCTCTGAGGATCCCATCTTTACCTCTTGTGCACTGGGATTACAGATATGGACTTCAGTCCTGACACCTCTATAGCAAGGAATTTTTTTTATTGAGCTGTACATTTTTCCCTGCTCCCCTCCCTGCCTCTCCCCTCTCCCATTCAACCCTCCCCCTAGGTCCCCATGCTCCCAATATACTCACGAGATCTCGTCTTTTTCTACTTTCTTCTTCCTGTGTAGATTAGATCTATGTAAGTCTCTCTTAGTGTCCGCATTGTTAGTGTCTGGGATTGTAGTTTGTAGGCTGGCTTTCTTTGCTTTATGCTTAAAAACCATCTATGAGTGAGTACATATGATAATTGTCTTTCTGTGTCTGGGTTACCTCACTCAAAATAATGTTTTCTAGGTCCATCCATTTTCCTGCAAAATTCAAGCTGTTGTTAATTTTTTCTGCTGTGTAGTACACCATTGTATAAATGTACCACATTTTCCTTATCCATTCTTCGATCGAGGGGCATTTAGGTTGTTTCCATAGGTTGTCTATGATAAACAAAGCTGCTATGAACATAGTTGAGCACATGTCCTTGTGGCACGATTGAGCATCCTTTGGAAAGTTGTTTCCTAATTTTCTGAGAAATCCCCACACTGACATCCAAAGGGGTTGTACCAGCTTGCACTCCCACCAGCAATGCAGAAGTGTTCCCTTTTCCCCACAACCTCTCCAGCATAAGTTGTCATCAGTGTTTTTGATCTTGGCCATTCTTACAGGTGATAGATGGAATCTCAGAGTTGTTTTGATTTGCATTTCTCTGATGACTAAGGATGTTGAACATTTCCTTAAGTGTCTTTCAGCCATTTTAGATTCCTCTGTTTAGAGTTCTCTGTTTAGGTCTGTACTCCATTTTTTTTTATTGGATTAAGTGATCTTCTGGTGTCCAATTTCTTGAGTTCTTTGTATATTTTGTATATGTGTCTAGCAAGGATTTTATTCATTGAGCCAGTTCTACAACACGATTTTTTTTTTATCTATAACTTGGTGGCCATTTTTTTTAAGTTTCTCGATAAATTTTTTTCTTAAGGTACTTTTATTCTTTGAGAATTTTACACATTTATACAATGTATTTTTACATATTCATTCCTATTCCTTCAGGATCCATCCCCCATCCTGCCTCCTTTTTTTATTTTTTCTTTAATATGTATAATCCACCCAGTCCAATTCGTGCTATCTATATACCTTTGGGTGGGGCCATCCACCAGAACGGGGTCTTCCTACTAGCACACGCACCCTTAGAACTAGCTCTTCCTCCCTCAGCAGCTACCAGTTGTTTATAGTTCCTCAGCTAGGGGTGCGGCTACCCACCTTCTGAGGAACTTCTCTGAGTCAGTTCAGAGACCTTCATAGCACTGTGTCCAGGGAAAGGTGCTGAAACCCTCTCCACATACTCCCCTGCTGTCTTCAACATTGAGGTGATGTCCTTGTGTCCAGTGCCATCCCTAGAGGCTGCTGTGTGCTCCCTGCACTTCCAGGCTGTTGTCTGGAGGAATGTCCAGGCCTGTCCTTACCACATGCCATCTGCCGTCATGTCCACATGTCAGTCTGAGTGGCAGTCTTGGCTGCTCTGCCTTCCTTCTTTATTGGAAAAAGAAGTCACCAGTTCCCATGCGTCCAAGGTAGAAAAAACAGGAAAGGCAGAAAGGAAGAATAAATGCCAAGGCCCTCTGGACTCTTCCAGAGATCCTAGCACTGGCCTCCCAGTGATTGGCTCCCCCTTTCCAGATTTCTGTTCCTTCTACAACATCCTGAAAACCTGTCGGGGCCATACACTGGAGCGCTCTGTGTTCAGTGAGAGAACAGAGGAATCCTCAGCTGTGCAGTACTTCCAGGTGAGTTAGTAGCTGTCCTGGGCCAGACAACCACCTGATGTTTCCTCCCCGACCTTCCCACAGGAGGGTCACACAGCACAGGCTAGACCCACATGAGTGCTCTTCCTGGCTCTGTCCCTTAGTAGCTGTGTAGCCTCAGCGGGCGTTCACCACTTGCTAGGCCTCAGTTTCCTCATCTGTGAAGCCCAAGTTCCAGGTGTTTAGGGTAGTGACTGAACTATAGCAGTGTCCTAAATCCTTGCTGAGTGTAAGGCATTGTGTGAGCCATCTTACATGCCCGGAAGCACTTGGACTTTCCCCACATCTGTTATTGTCCCCATTTTACAGTTGAGAAAACTGAGGCTCAGAGAGGTTAAATGATTTTGCTCCAAGTCAAACAGCTCTTATGCAACAGAGCCACGATGAGAAAGCCAGGTCTGCCTGATGCCCAAGCCTGTGGCCCTGCCAGGTGCCATGCTGCATCCTGATCGCCTGTTATCTTACAGAGAGACACCGCACATTACCTGCCTGGCGCTTTGAGCTCTAGGGTTTTGTTCCAACCATTCCTCTTCTTCTTTGGGACCCTAAGATAGAACAGTTGGCCTCCAGGTGTTAGAATCCCATTCATGACAAATTTTGTGGTCTCTTGGGTGGCCTCCAGGTTCAGGTGGCATCTATCTAGCTGTGTCCTTCAGCCATGACAACAGTGAAGTGTCCCTCTTGGGGACTGCTCCTCAGACCCCTGCTCCCACTTATGGAGCAGCTGGCTCTTGTCAGTTGGGTTCAGGCTGGAGGAGGGTACATGACCTCCCAAGGGAGGTTTATGCTGTCAGGCCCTCCTTCCATTGTAGGGCAGCCAGGGCTGTGGCAGTTTGTTATGCCATGTGCCGTGTGCTATTGGTATGTCTCTGTTCCAGTTTTATGGCTACCTGTCCCAGCAGCAGAATATGATGCAGGACTATGTGCGTACAGGTACCTACCAGCGTGCGATCCTACAAAACCACACCGACTTCAAGGACAAGGTGAGCCATCAATACAGAAAGCCTGCTGAACCGAGGCTGTGGGTACCTGGGAGACTGTGGCAGGGGCCTCCCTTCAGTTCTGTTGCCTTTTTTTTCTATTGTTAATCTGAGTCAACCCTCCATTTTCTTTTAGTTAAAATTATGTTCATTTTTCGACTCCCTGTAGAAAATAATCACTTCTGCCTCTTCTAGCATGCCTTTGGTCATACTGACTCAGCTGTATTTATTGGGTGGAATATACTGAACAAACATTAAGTTTTACATGGACTGCTGATGCCAGCACTCAGGAGATGTTGCCAAGAGGGCCATCAGCTGTAGTATTTGGGTGCTTTCCTAGCGTGAAGAAATCTGACTTCCAGTCTAACACTGCAGAAAAATAAAACAGCTTTAGATTTGGAAGTTGATGTTTTGGATGTGTGTGTTATAAGAGTAAGCTGGGCGTGGCAGCATGCACATTTGATCTAGGTAGAGGCAGGTTTAGTTCTAAATTGGAAATCATCCAGGGCTATACAGTGAGTCCCTTTCTCAAGAAAAGGAGGGAGGAAAAAAAAAGAGTTGAGAATAATGAAGCCACACCCCTCTCCTAGTTGCACAGATAGATGGCTTCTGTGGGGAGCTGCTGAGCTCTATAGTAGTAATGGACCCCGGCTGAGCCTTCTCTCATCCATCTCAGTTCTAGTTTAATCTACCTTGAATAAGGGCAGATCCCATGGACTGAGAATCCAGTAATACAGAACCCCACCCCTCAGCTTTAAATGTCAGGGCCAGCCCCAACTGCCTTTCTCAGGTCTTATGACAGATGGCTCTGAGTTGGGGTGCCGCAATAGCTGTTTACCCAAGCAGCTCGCAGAGTTCAGGGAAGCATGCTTGCCAGTTTATCACAGAAGATTCTAACAGTGGAATGAAGACACTGGGAACAGTACTAGAGAGAGTGGCCTCACTGCTTTTTGGAGTTTCTAGCTACCCACTCTGCCCCATCGAACTGAATTCAGAACCTAGGCCTTTTCTGGCTCTAATGCTGATGATGTGCTAATTGGCTTGGTGAGAAAATCCAGCGAGATCTGTCCACATGTTCTTGGCCTTTTTAGCTAGCACCCCTCCTCCAAGCACAGGGTAGGTAGTGTGGAACCCTTTTGAAGTGTCTTTGGTGGTGGTGGTGGGGTTGTTAGAAGACCATGCCTGCTTTGTTTTCCAATCTACATTTAGACTCAGTCTTCCTATCTCAGCCTCCTGGGGCCTTGCCTCACTGACTGGACACTCCTCCACAACACTATAACTCTACTCTTCATACTTTTACTGCTCTTCAGTCTAGGTTGGTGGTGCATATCTATAGTCTCAACACTTGAGAGGCTGAAGCAATAGAATTTCAGGAGGGGTAGGGGGAGCTGCTGCTGTCTTTCTGGTCTTCTTAGTACTGTGTAAGGTAATCAGCACCTTGTGATGAACTAGGCTTTCTGTTGGATTGGCCTAGCTTTTGGGGTAGACAGACGCTCTCAGCATGTGTCCAGCAAGCCAGGCAAGGCTTAGATGTTTGGTAGGTCAGGCATTTAGCATGTAGTTTTGCCTTATATATGATCCCATTGTAAAGGGAGACACATCTCCCTGGTCCTTTTTTTGTTTCTTCCCTCCCTTCTCTCTTTTTTTATGATGGAGAGGGGAGAATTGAGACATGGTTATCTGGGGTAGTCCAGGACTGCCTTGAACTTACTTTCCACTTGCCAAGTACTTGAATTACAGATATTCATCACCTTATCCCATTTAGGGCCTCATGTTCCACACAAGGAACAGCCTTCTCTTCTCATCCTATGGCCCATTATTTGTTTACCCTTTTGTAGCAGGTGGGAGCTTGTGCCTTTTTTTTTTGGCAGGGGGTGGGGTGGGGAGTTTCAACAGGGTTTCTCTGTGTAGCTTTGGAGCCTGTCCTGGAACTCACTTTGTAGATCAGGCTGGCCTCGAACTTTGCCTGTCTTTGCCTCACAAGTGCTGGGATTAAAGGTGTGTGTACAGGTATCTTCTTGACTTGAACCCAGGCAGTGCTTGGGGCCTTCAAATCACATGGATTTTTGGTGGTATTCTGGCCCTCCCAGGGCCTGGGCCCATTTCTACTTTGATCCAGAGCTTAAGCAGAAGCCACAATCCTAGCAACAGTGCTACCTATGTAACTTGCCACTGTACCTGGGAAAGCCCACACATGCCACCCCAGAAACATCTGTCCTTTTTCTGCTTAGATGGAAGCAACCCCACACATCTAGAACATGCAGGATTCTGCCAAGTTCATGTCCAGTCTCAGCTGAGCTTCAGGTTTGGGTCACTCACCTGCCCTAGTAAAGACTGCTTCTGGGGATAGAATTAGCATTAGCACAGGACACACTGCGTACAGAAGCCCACACCACTCCCTTCAAGACTTCAGAGCCCTAGATGACAACCTCTCCATTTCCTACAGAGAGGTTCCTAGCCTGTACCCCAGATTTCCAGCCACTTTCAGGTTATAAGGTTGGGACTGAGCAAGAGACCCAGGCTCATCTTCCCAGAAGCCTGGCTTTATCTCCATGTTGACCCCAGTCCCGTAAGGGGTAGCTCCTGAAAGTGAGGACCTACCTGGCTATCAAGCCTTACACTAGTTCTGTGTCTCTGCTTCTCAGCATGTGGATGGGCAAGAACAATGTGTCTCTGGCACCAGGACAGTTCCTTTAGCACCTTTCTGGTTTTTGTCTCTCTGTTCTTCCCAGGTCAGCCATGTATTAATCTTCGAATAGAGTCTATATAGTCTAGGCTGGTCTTGAATTCATGGTCCTCCTACTTCAGCCTTCTCATTCTGGGATTTTAGGCATTTGCCATTGTGCAGGATTGCTTTTTGTTTTGTTTTATTATATGTGTATGAGCATCTATCTGTGTGTATCTGTACCATTTGCATGCAGTGCCTATGAAAGCCAGAAGAGGACAGCAGATCTGGAACTGGAGTTAAAGATGGTTGTGAACTGCAATGTGGGTGCCAAAAATTGAACGTGGGTCCTCTGAAAGAGTAACCATTTCTCCAGCCCCCTGAAAACAATTCTTTTGTGGACACATATTAGTTCTGCTGTTATTTATATTGTTTGTGATGGGCATAGTTGTGTGGTGTTTGGCGCATCTGTAGCCTCATACACGTATCATTTCTCCAGATTGTTCTCGATGTAGGCTGTGGCTCTGGGATCCTGTCATTTTTTGCTGCTCAAGCAGGAGCCAGGAAAATTTACGCAGTGGAGGCCAGCACCATGGCTCAGCATGCTGAGGTCAGTGTCCTACTGGGGCCCAAGCCCTTCCCTTCTCATGTCCTTCATCTCTATACCCACTGAGAGCCCCTAGGGGACTTGGGGACATCACTGCTGTTCTTTGTCTCTAGAACCAAGTGATTACAGGCAGGAGAGGGAGGCCACTGGGCTCTGGTGGCAAAGCCACAATGACTAACTAGGCATCCACAAGGATGTGCTCTCATGCCTCAGGCAAAGTGGCAAAGACACGGCCCCTGTATTGGGAATTCTCAGTTCCATACATCCTGTACAGGTGACAACAGGATTTCATTTTGTCATATCCTTGGTGCCCTCCCACACACACTTTTTTCATGGAAAACTTAATTTTCAAGTTTAGAATTGAAAAGCTGAAGAGGGGTAGATTACTGTGCTCATATCCCTGACTTCCTACTTCTCAGGCCCTTTACTAGACAAAGAGAGTCCCCTAGGTCCTTCCAGACTCTTCTGTGGATACATTCATGAGCTTGGCTCCCTCTCCTACAGCCTATGTCTCATATAAACAGGAGCACTGCCAGCTTGCTCCTGGATGTTCCCTAGTTGCAGATCTGGGACTATGAGCCTCAATCAGCACCTTCAGAGAGCTTCCATGCTAGTTCAGTCTTTCCTGACCAACTGCCTCTTGCTTTTTGTAACCTGTGAGCCCTTTGGTACACATCCTTTTATCAGGTTCTCACTGTGTGTGAAAGACAACTTGGCTAGGACTAGGCTACAGCTTTGGGGGTAAGCATTCCCCCTGGCATCAGGGACATTGGTGCCTGAGACAGCTGGACCACAGAAGTCCTTTTCCCATGGTTAGGATGTCCATAGGGAAAGCAGAGGGGGTAACTCTTGCCAGCTTTGAGCAGAGACCATCATGAGCTGAGGGGTGAGGAGGGCCTATGCCAAGCAAGCACAGGGAGCCTTCTCTCACCTCCTACAGGTCCTAGTGAAGAGTAACAACCTGACAGACCGCATCGTGGTCATCCCTGGCAAGGTAGAGGAGGTCTCATTGCCTGAACAAGTGGACATTATCATCTCAGAGCCCATGGGCTACATGCTCTTCAATGAACGCATGCTCGAGAGCTACCTCCATGCCAAAAAGTACCTGAAGCCCAGTGGTGAGTGTCCCATGCTCAGAAGCACTGAGGTTGTTGCTGAGCCTTTCAACCAGAGTAGTTGACCCCCTGGGAAAGTCCCACTGCTACCAGCAGCCTAGAGGTGTGGCTACTTGTCCTGTTGTCTCTCAGTGATCTACATACAGAGATGGGATTTTTTTCCTACCTCCTACCCTAACCCTACCTGCTGGCTAGGGCTTCTGTATCCTCAGCCCCCCAACCTCACCCCACCAGGCATTGACAAGCCCCTGAAGGGACCACAGAAAGTATCTGGTGTCTCTCGTGTATGTTTGCCACAGAGCCACCCCTAACAGGATAGAGGTGTGAGTCTGGGATGGGCTGGAACTCCATCACTGGTGGTCTCCCAAGGGTTGTTCATTCCCAAACTGGAAATCTTACCCAAGGCAATGTGGCCAGCCTACTCCCCTAAGAGCTAAGAAGTGGGCAGGTGAGAAGGTGTACACGCTTAAGGATGCAGGTGTTATATATGTGTAATGATATATGAAACTATATACAGGTGTGTGGATGAGGATGTACATATGTATCTGTGTGTGTGCATGGGTTTATGGGTGTGTGTTCTTATGTGAAGGTGTATGGATGGTGAGGGTCTGTGAGTAATGTAGATATGTTTGTGCATATTTGAGGGTGTGGGATGTGTGATGGTTTGTAGGTGTTTAAGAATGTATGTTTACATGTTAGAGTCTGGGGGAGGTAGGTGTGTATATGAAGATGTGAATTCTTAAGGGTAAATGGGCAGGTAGGTGTGCCCTGAAGGTATGGTGTATGTGAAGGTATATGGGTGGGTATACACCTACCTGTGTGTAGATGTACGTACATGTATTAAGGGCATGTTGATATGTCATTTCTGTCCATGCCTGCATCAAGTGGCATGTTGGCAACTGCCAGTCTGGGATCTGTACTCTGCTGTACACAGCCCATTTCTCTGATGAGTTCTGGGGATGTGTCTGTGTCTGAATAGTTCTTTAAAGGCACATGTGTGTATGTGTTTGTGGGAGCTCAAGGACCTGGATCTAGCAGTAGCCTCAGCTAGAGATGAGCAACCAAGCAAGTGCTGTTGGCAGCTCTGGTGAATGTATGGCTTCCATGACTCTTCTGCCTAAGAGCCAACACTGGCTCAGTTCCTGTAGGGAAGAGGTGGCCGTACTTCTCCATGTGTGTAAGTGTGGGAGTCCAAGCTGTCCTGGGTGTTCTTTCCTCCCCTCTGGCCGTATTGGTGGCTAAGCCTATGAGGTGGAAGTGACTTGGCCCTTGTGTGAGACCATGCAGGAGTCAGGCCTGTGAGGTGGTTTTCATCCCCTCAGAAACCCTTTGAGGATTAAAGGCAGCCTGTAGGGGCCAGAAAAGGGTTCCTTATATGATGCCCCACCTGCCTCTGTCATCTATCCCATTGGCCATAGTTGAACATTCTAACCTAGTGTGAATTGGGAGGGAGGGAGGCCCACATCTGCAGGCCATGTGTTTATTCTGTGCAGGATCAGCCTTCACACACCCACTTCTCCCTGCTCCCAACCTAGCCCCATTTTGCTTATTCATGAGTCTCAGAGGAGGATCCTCTACTTCTGTTTCAATCACATGCCCAAGCCTGGTATTTGGGTAGTCCTGGCTGAGCCATGCAGGTTAATCCCCAAAGAGCCCAGGTTTTTCTTTCACTCTGGTCTGGACAGTCCAGGCACACTGGACACCAAGAGACTCTATGCTAGCACTGGGACCTGGGGATAGGCCCACTCCCTTTTTGTGTTGTTTTATTTATTTATTTATTTTGGTCTTTTCAAGGCCGGGTTTCTCTGTAGCTTTGGTTCCTGTCCTGGAACTAGCTCTTGTAGACCAGGCTAACCTCAAACTCACAGCGATCGCCTGCCTCTGCCTCCTGAGTGCTGGGATTAAAGGCATGCAGCTGCCTACTCCCTTCTTGGGGTAGACGAAGATCAATGAGATGAAAGCAAGTGTACTGACGGACCTGGGTGCTGGTGGGAGACAAACTGATCCAAGTGTCTTGCTGCTACATAGGGAAAGTTTGAACTCATCAGTGGATGATGGTTGAAAATAAAAATCACCAAAGAAAAAAGCCTCTGAGTCAGGCAGTGGTGGTGCATGCCTTTAATCCCAGCACTTGGAAGACAGGCGGTTCTCTGAATTTAAGACCAGCCTGGTCTACAGAGCTAGTTCCAGGGCAGCTAGGGCTACCTAGAAAAATCCTGTCTCAAAGAAAAAAAGAAAGAAAAAGGCCTTCTATCAAAATTAGGCTGGATATGGTGGCATCTGGGAGCTTGAGGCAACAAGACCCCATCTCAAGAAGACAAACAAGTTAGGGTGATAATGTATACCTGTAATTGTGACACTTAAGTGGAGGCTGAGTCAGCAGTTAAGGCCTGGCTGGGCTAGAGGAGAGCCTCATCCCTCTCCCACCCTCCAACTAAAGCAAAAAAAAAAAAAAAAAGATTTATGTCTGAGAGTTAAACTGAGGGTTACCAAGTTCCATCCCCAGTTCACACATTTCTAGAGGTCATGGACAAAAGGTGCTGCACACTGGGGCATGGAGGGAGGGAGGGAAGAATGGAGGGATGGGTGGATGGATGGATGGATGGATGGATGGATAGATAGATGGAAAGGAAGTCCATGATTGGGGATCTCAGAGTCCTCTGGAAGCTCTACTCAGCCTTGCAGGATGTGCTGCCCTGACAACAGCACTCCTCCCTGCCCCTCCCCCCCACTCCCAGGAAACATGTTCCCCACCATTGGTGACGTCCACCTCGCACCCTTCACCGATGAACAGCTCTACATGGAGCAGTTCACCAAAGCCAACTTCTGGTGAGTGCGCCCTGGGTGTCCCAGCCAGGCCATGGGGCCTGCCTGCACGGGGATGGACCCAGTCCTCAGGTGGGCCCTTGCCTCTCCTGTCTTTTCTCACCCCCCTTGGAAGGATCTGAAGGACATGGGCTAGATGAGGGCCAGCTAGGAAAGAAAGCCGGTAACTCTCCTCCTACCTCTCTTGCTGCTTGTGACCTCAGGGTGGGGTTGGGAATTTCCACAGGTACCAGCCATCCTTCCACGGAGTAGACCTGTCAGCCCTCCGAGGTGCCGCGGTGGATGAGTATTTCCGGCAACCTGTTGTGGTGAGTAGTGTGTAGAGGGCACTGCTGGACTGATGGATGGGGTTAGGGCTTCACCAAGCTCTGGGGTCTAGAAACTCTGCTTCTCTCATCCCTCCCTCACTCTGCAAAGCATGTGCAACCAACCAGCAGGATGGCTCTATAGCAAACTTGACTGAATAATACATAAAGTCATGGTTCAGTAATTAAGAATCTAAATAAGCATTGTCATCCATGCCTGTAACCCCTGCATGTAGATAGGGATCAGAAGATCCAAGATGGCCTGGGATCTTTCATAAAAACAAGGTAAAAAGTAACAGAGACGGAGATATGGCAATTACAAGCACCTACTGCTTTTGCAGAGGACCTACATGACAGGTCACAACCATCTATAATGGGGCACCAGACACTGTGGTGTACAAACTTAGGTCCAGATAAACATCCACACATGTAAAATAACTAAATAATTTTTTTAACATGGGTAGGTAGTTTGCCTTCATTTATGTCTGTGCTACGTGTGTGCAGTGCCCACAGAGGCCAGGAGAGGGTGTTGAGTCCTTTGGGACTAGATCCAGAGGTTGTGAGTTGCCTTGTGGGTGCTGGGAATTGAACCCAAGTCATCGGAGAGCAGCCAGTGCTCTTAACCTCTGAGCTATCTCTCCAGACCATAAATTAGTTTTGTTTTATTTTTAAAGAAAAGAGGAAAAACAGCGTTAGTGGCTCTTGCGGGGGACCATGTTCCAGGGGATCAGATCTCTCTTTTGGCCTCCACTGGCACTGCCAGTGTACTTAGATACAGAGAAAACACACAGAAAATAAAATTTAGTAAATTGGGGACTGGAGAGATGACTTAGCACCTAAGAGCACTTGTAACTCCCTTTCTCTCTTCTCTCTCTGTGTCTCTTTCTTTTTGGTTTAGATTTTGGAGACAGGGTTTCTCTGTGTTGCTTTGGAGCCTGTCCTGGAACTCAAACTCAAAGAGATCCAACTGCCTCTGCCTCTGGAGTGCTGGGATTAAAGACATGTACCACCACCCTGCAAGCAATTGTAACTCTTGCAGAGGATCCAGGTTCAGTTCCCAGCACCTACATGGTGGTTCACATCAACTCCAATTCTAGGCAATCCAATGCCAGGTGCATTTACATAGTCATATACATAAATATATCTAATAAAAAATTTACATAGTCATATACATAAATATATCTAATAAAAATAAAACTTCAAAAAGACATTAAATGAGGAAATCTCTAGAGAAATTTTTTAAATGATTAAATTTACACTGGCTGGCCTGGAACCCAGAACTATGCCTGGATTAAGAAAAAGTCTTAAGCAACGCAGTAGTGGCACACACCTTTAATCTCAGTACTCGGAAGGCAGAAGCAGATGGATCTCTGTGAGTTCGAGAGCAGCCAGGACTACACAGAGAAAACCTGTCTCAAAAAACTCCATAAAGGGGGCTGGATAGATGGCTCAGTGATTAAGAGTATTGCCTGCTCTTCCAAAGGTCCTGAGTTCAATTCCCAGCAACCACATGGTGGCTCACAACCATCTATAATAAGATCTGGTGCCCTCTTCTGGCCCACAGGCATACGTGCAGACGGAATATTGTATGCATAATAAATAGATATTTTTTTAAAAAACAAACTCTATAAAAAGGGATGAAAAAAAGAAAAGTCTTAACACTCAAACATGTGCTTGCAGGTGCACATTTTTAAAACTTTTCCTCAAAATATAGCACAATTGGTATATTACTGTGTATCCATTTCTCTGTCATCAAAGAGCATGCACTGGGTACTATCATACCTTGGACAATTGCAAGTCTAGTGTTCAGTCCTCAGCTAACGCTTTGTGTATGCTTAGAAGAAAATATCAGCAGGGTATGGTGGTGCTGGCATTTAATCCCAGATCTTAGAAGGCAGGAGGATCTCTCAATTTGATTAGCCTGGTCTATAAGTGAATTCCAAGGCAGCCAGGACTATAATGCCAGGCTTGTACGGCAAGTGCCTTCACCTGCTAAACCAGCTGGGTGAACCTTTTTGGTTTTTTTTTGAAACAGGGTCTCACTATGTGACCCTGTCTGGCTTGGAATTCACTATAAAGATATATATATATATTATATATATATATATACACACACACATACATACCAGCCTGTCTCAAACTCAGAAACCCACATGTGTCTGCCTCCAGAGTGCTGCGGTTAAAGGCATGAATCACCAGGCCAGGCTCCTGAGATTTCCATATCTTGCTTAGGTTAGACCCAAGTGCATAAGTGCCATTACTTGCTCAGTAGCTGGGAATATGGTTGTTGCTCACTGTCGTATTGTTGTCATCCTAAGGATTCGCTCAGTGCAGAGTGCTTGCTCACATGCATGAGGCCCAGGGCTCAATCTGCCCTGAGACAGGGTTTTTCTGTATAACAGCCCTGGCTGTCCTGGAGCTCACTGTAGACAAAGCAGGTCTCGAAATCACATAGATCTGCCTGCCTCTGCCTCCTAAATTCTGGGATTAATTTACAACCTCACTTGTACACCATCACCATCCAGCATTGGAACTCATTATATAGACCAGGCTGGCTTTGAACTTGCAGAGATCTCCCTGCTTCTATAATATAACATTTTGAGGGGTGTAGTCTAATTGCTGTCCCTAGTGTTGTGCCTAGCAAATCTGAGAAGGGCAAAATGATGTAGCCAGATAACAGAGGTTAGTACCATGGCCAGGCCTGGAGAATAAGGGAAGGCATTGAGGCTTTCCCCTTCTTCCATGGCATTTGCAGCACAAGCTGGGTCACACCTGTCATCTTGCAGGATACATTTGACATCCGGATCCTGATGGCCAAATCTGTCAAGTACACAGTGAACTTCTTAGAAGCCAAAGAAGGCGATTTGCACAGGTACCCATCATCTTTTAGACACCCACGGCCGCTGTACCCCTACCCCTGCACTCCTCATAGTCATGTTCCTGTCACCCCCTGGGCACTCACGGCCAGCTGCTGTCCCCCCAGCTACCCCTCCTACTCTCCTCACAGTCAGGTTGGGCTTCTACAGCAAGCCCATGCCCTTTGCCTTGCAGGATAGAAATCCCATTCAAATTCCACATGCTGCATTCAGGGCTGGTCCATGGCTTGGCGTTCTGGTTCGATGTTGCTTTTATTGGCTCCATGTAAGTATGGCACTGCTGGGGCTCCTTGCAGCTATGGCCTCCAGGCCTGGCTGTGTCGTAACTCCTCAGGTGGCTCTTCCTATCCAAAACCCAGGAAGAACTATAGGGGAGGGTTGTGGTTGTGGTTGTCATTTCCTCAGCAGCTACCCTGAGTGCCTGTCCCTTATGGTGTTTGTCTCAGTGCATGGGTGTCAGAGTGAGTAGGCACCCCATGGCCATGGATTGATTGTCCACATGTTTGCCTGTGCCTGCCTGGAATTGAGCCAGTTTTAGCCCTGAGACCCCAGGGGACCATTCAGGGAAAGCTACTGGGGTAATATTAAGGTATGTGGGGTAGTGGCACAAGTGATGGTGCCAACCTAGTGAACTACACCCATCTCTTTTTGACAGAATGACCGTGTGGCTGTCCACAGCCCCAACAGAACCCCTGACCCACTGGTATCAGGTCCGGTGCCTCTTCCAGTCACCGTTGTTTGCCAAGGCTGGAGACACGCTCTCAGGGACATGTCTGCTTATTGCCAACAAAAGGTGCACCCTGCCACCCATCCAGGGCTGATAAAGCAGTGGCACAGGGGCCCACCAGCCCAGCTGTCTCACAGCCACCCTCTCTATCCTCCCCAGACAGAGCTATGACATCAGTATTGTGGCCCAGGTCGACCAGACAGGCTCCAAATCCAGTAATCTGCTGGACCTGAAGAACCCCTTTTTCAGGTAGCAGGGTTCTCGTTGGGGGAGGGTTTCAGGAGCCCCACAGCCCTGCCCACAGTGAATCTCTGCCATAGGTACACGGGCACAACCCCATCACCCCCACCTGGCTCACACTACACATCTCCCTCCGAGAATATGTGGAACACAGGAAGCACCTACAATCTTAGCAGCGGGGTAGCTGTGGCCGGTGAGTCTGAATGCAACTTCCAAACATAGCTGGAGGCCCATGGTGGCAGCCTTGACCCCAGGTCCCCAGAGCTTGCCTTGCCTTGTCCTGCCCCTAATACTCCACTTTCTGGTCAGGAATGCCTACTGCCTATGACCTGAGCAGTGTTATTGCCGGCGGCTCTAGTGTCGGTCACAACAACCTGATTCCCTTAGGTGAGTGTCCCCTAAGATCTATGCCATGGCAGGGGAGGACTGGGATGTGCCAGTGGCCAGTTCAATAGCCAGTGCTTGGTCTTCTGCCACCACTGTCGCTGTCATGGTCACCTTTTCCTCTTCCTGGGTACTCTAGCCCTGTGTGCCTCTCCATCTTGATCTGTCACCACTCCATCTGCCCTTCCCACACCAACCATAAGAGTGGAGTGGGCCAGGCAGGCTGGGGGCGGTGACGTCTCCCTCCCTCCTTCTTTCCTCCCTGTCGCTGCACAGCCAACACAGGGATTGTCAATCACACCCACTCCCGGATGGGCTCCATAATGAGCACGGGCATTGTCCAAGGTAACAGGGTAGCGGGGCCGTGGGCGGGGGGCCTCCCGCCTGGCCTGCGCACACGCTCAAGCTACCAGTGGGGGCCAGGCAGGCTTAGGGGTCATGCTGGCTCCTCAGTGCCCATGACCTGCCCCACAGGCTCCTCAGGTGCCCAAGGAGGCAGCGGTGGCTCCAGTGCCCACTATGCAGTCAACAACCAGTTCACCATGGGTGGCCCCGCCATCTCCATGGCCTCACCCATGTCCATCCCAACCAACACCATGCACTACGGGAGCTAGGTGCCTCCAGCTGCAACACCACTGCGCACTGACAGCACCAGGAAACCAAATGAAGTCCACGCCCAGTGCAGCCGGTGGCTGTCCCCCTTGTTCTGGAGAAGTGTGAACACCCGGTCACAGCCCTCTTTGCAATGGGAACTTGGACACTTTTGTACACGATGTCGCCGCTGCCCTCAAGTATCCCCAGCCCACCCTTTGGCCCTGAGCGCGTGTCGCTGCCATGTTTTACATGAGATCCTGTTGGGGCAGCCCTCATCCTGTTCTGCCCTCTCCAACCTGACCTGGCTTTGACATCTACTGGAAGAGGCAAGCTCCCTTCACCCAGTCCCACACACACAGCTGCACCTGACCAGGCAGGAGGAAGCCAGCAGCTGCCACTACAAGACCTGGCAGAACCCATCCCCCAACCCATCCTTGCACCTGCCCCTCACCTGGGGTAGCAGCACAGCCAGCTGGACCTCTTCTTCATCTACCAGGCCACATGGTCACCATGGACGTGACATGCTGCTTTTTTTAATTTTATTTTTTTACGAAAAGAACCAGTGTCAACCCACAGACCCTCTGAGAAACCCGGCTGGCCGGGCCCAGCCAGCAGCCCCTGTCCGTAAGCCCAGAGGTTCTAGGTGAGGGGTGGCCTGTCAAGCCTTCAGGGCAGGCATCACCCCCTCTCACCAAAGGGTTCACCTCACACTTGAATGTACAAAAACACCCAGCTGTCCAAAGGCCTCTAGCCCCTGCTTCCTGCTACTGTCCTGTCCTGAGCCCTGAAGGTCCCCCTTTACCAAAAGCTGGAACAGGCAGCCCAAAGGGAAAGTCACCCAGGGCCACTGGGGCAGACAAAAACCTCAAGGATCTGTCACAGAAGGAAGGAGGGCATACTCTCCATGATAGCTAACATGGGCCTGTGTGTTACACTCCACATTCATGCTCTATTTCCTCCTCTCAAGACAGCATCCCTGAAAAGGGGCCTAGAAGGGACCTCTCCCTCCAGACAGAAAAAGAAGAAACAAGTAAGGAAGGGCAGTTTCTCCCCTGCTCCCTTGCCCTAGAGTCTCTACCCACTTCAGTGGCCAGAGCCCAGGCTGGGCCTATGCCTACCATAGGTACTCCTGGCAATGGCTGGATCTGCCCTGTGCCATCCCTGACCTGTCAGGGAAACGGCCCACAGGCAGGCTGGAAAACCGGGCTCTTCTGTCCATCAGTAATACTCCCTGCTCGGCTGCCCCTCCCCACCTTTATATAAATTCTCTGGATCACCTTTGCATAGAAAATAAAAGTGTTCGCTTTGTAAGAAAAGCCTGCAAAGTAACAGGGTGGTCTCCAGGGTCCAAGAATACTCCAGTCTTCACAGGGAGGATAGGTAGCGGCCCCTTGGGTTTGCCCTGGAAAAGAAGAGACTCCTTGGAGTGGCCCCAGGGGCAAGAAGGTGAACCCTTAGCCACAACAGAAACTGGTCCCTCACCTGCAGGCTTGGCCTTCCTAGAAGGTTGTCATGGACCGGGCTGAGGTGGGCAGCAGGACACTGGGAGATAAAGGTGTGGCTTGCGGTTCTGGTACAACATGTTCCAGAGGCAGTGGCTGGAAGAAGTACAGCTGCAGAGAGATCTCAGGGTGAACGTGTAGTTGGGTGGCAGCAAGCCCCACTCCACAGCCCTGCAGAGGACCACCTGGACCTACCTTACAACCTAGCGCCAAGAGAGCGTGAAGCAGCACTACAACAGACAGCAGTGCTATAGCCACCAGCCTTGTATCCTCTCGGACAACAGGCCACAGTGTGAACACCAGCCCAGCAGATGACAGGGCCAGAGCCAGTGCTCCAAAGAGCCACTGCAGCCACTCCACTGGGATAAGCCATAGGACCTAGTGTGACAAGTATAGCATAGCTGGTGACCATACAGGGTGTGCCATGCAGATCCCACCAGTTCCCAGGGCCAAGCCACACTCACCACTGTGGGGATGAAGACAAAGAGTGAGTAGCCATAGACACAAACAGTCTCCAGGAAGGTGTACAACCCCATGTGCTCCCTTGTGCCCTGGCGCCACCGGAGGAAGCCCCACAGTGCCAGGGGCACTAGCCACGCATAGCAGTAGATGGTGATACCTGCTACAGTCACTAGGAATGCAAAGTGGACCGTCATTGCATGCCCTGGGGCTCTGGCAGCCAGGAGCTGAGCCCAACCACCTGCTTACCCTTATGGAACTGGGGGCTGTAGTGGATGGAGGGGTCCCGCCTCTGTGCAAGCACCAAAGTGAGATTGCCAGTAACTGCCAGGACAAAAGCCAAGGTAGCACAGATCCAGAAGGGTCCTGCAAAGGGGACATGGAGTCCCAGGTCCATCAGTCCTAGGAAAGGTAGCTGGCTATGTCCTGTTTCAAGTGTGGTAAAACCCCAGACCCCATTTGACTCTCCAGATCACTGAGGCCAGGACCTGCCTCAGGGCCCATCCTGTCTTTCTGGAAATGCCTTCCAAAGTGCCTCAAGCACTTGACTTTTTTCTCTTCTCTGACAAAGTTCTTTACAGGTAGAAAAGGTACGGTGCTTTTGCACTGGAGGCAGGATCTTATCCAGATTTGAAGCTTTATGAATGCCATCTTTAGCTGTCCACTCCCAAGCTGCTCCAGTGCCCCAAAGTTCACGCTTACATTTGAACTTCACATGGGTGTCCTGAGCCCCTTGACCTGTTCCTCATACCTGCCCAGCTTTTCCTATCTACCCATGGCAACTTGCTCTTGGTGGACTGAGTAGAAAGCCACCTTGGCCTTTCCCACTCCACTGTGGGGCATTCTCTAGAACCAACCACTCTGCTCACAGCCTCCGCTGTGATGTCTGTACCCTGCCTGTTCTTGCTGCCTTCTACCCTTAATTTCAGCAGTGTGTGAGGAGACCTTAAAAATGCTTCACCCAAGCCGGGCGGTGGTGGCGCACGCCTTTAATCCCAGCACTCGGGGAGGCAGAGGCAGGCGGATCTCTGTGAGTTCGAGGCCAGCCTGGTCTACAAGAGCTAGTTCCAGGACAGGAACCAAAAAAAGCTACGGAGAAACCCTGTCTCGAAAATCCAAAAAAGAAAAAAAAATGCTTCACCAAGATCTCTTCTCACCACAATATGGGACCAGTGTACTCACCCCCTACCTATGACCTCCCCGGCTGCTCCTTCCACTCCAGTCACCTATGCCACTATGCAGCTCAGTTATGTTTCCAACATGGGGGGGTCTAGAAACTTTGCAGGTCCTCTCTAAGCCTCTCTCCACCAATGCCAACAAAACTCATTTGCCTACCCTACTCAGAGGCCTTCCTAACTTCTCTATACCAGGCAGTGATGCCTCATCCTCTGAGCTCTACCTACCACCTTCTGCTTCCTGTCTTGGTGTCTCCTTCAACTAAACACAAATTTTCACTCTTCATGACTGACAGTCCTGCTCATGGCCTGGCACAGCCCCACGTTTGCTGAGTGAATATTCCATTGAGTTAAACATACAGCCTCATTTACCATATAGGTCAGGCCGATTTCTAAGATGGTGCCACACAAAGTTGTGGCCCGGGTGGGGCAGCAGCGAGCCTTTGATCCGGTCCAAGACCTGGAGAGCAAAACCAGGGTCCAGAATGAGAATCTTAGCGTTCTGAGAGGCAATACCCCAGCAGACTTCTACTGTCTTGCCAGTACATCCTAACTGAGCAAGCTCAGCTGTCCCCTCCAGGCTATTCATGGAGTGTCTTCTATGGCTTGAGGTCTTAGCCTCTAGTTTCTGCTGAAATGTCACCACACTCTAAAGGTGGGCTTTTAGGTCTGCCACCTTTCGCTCTACTTTTTAAATTTTTTTAAAATATTTATTATGTATACAATATTCTGTCTGTGTGTATGCCTGCAGGCCAGAAGAGGGCACCAGACCCCATTACAGATGGTTGTGAGCCACTATGTGGTTGCTGGGAATTGAACTCGGGACCTTTGGAAGAGCAGGCAAAGCTCTTAACCTCTGAGCCATCTCTCCAGCCCCCTTTTAATTTTTTAAGTTTCATTTTATGTGCATTGATGTTTTGCCATGGGTGTGGGGTCCCCTGGAACTGGAGTTACAGTTGTGAACCATCAAGTGGGTGCTGGAAATTTAACTCAGGTCCTCTGGAAGAACACGCAATGCTCTTAACCGCTGAGCCATCTCTCCAGCCCCGCAGTCAGTGTTCTTAAACTGCTGAGCAATCTCCTCGGCACCTCTCTCAACATACTACATAAGTAACTTATTGCTCTCCTCCCAGCCACAGTAAGTTCTGGGTGTTTTCCCTCCTCCATCTCCAGAATGTGCCCTCTCAGTAGACCTGGGTTATTATCAGAGGCTGGCCTGTGTTCCACATTCATATCTGCTCATTCTACTCATTCATCTCCAAAAGTCTTCCATGACTCCCCATTGCCTCGGGCCAAGACCCAAACTTCAGCTCATTAACATAGCTTGCATCCAGGCCTCGTGGCGCCTGCTGTGGCCCTAGCTACACAGGAGCCTGAGACAAGAGAAGCACTCTAAGCCTAGCTGTTCAAGGCCTAACTGGGAAACATACCAAGACACTGGCTTTAGGAGACACACCTACCCCCATCTACTCTGTACCCCACTTTTGCCTTCCAGCCACACCCCACACATATTCCATCCAAATTCAGTGCCCCAAATATAGTGGCTAAACCCAAGCAACTCCCAAGTTCTTGCCACCAATATCCCATGCTTCACCTGGGAAGTGTCCACATCAAAGAAGCTCTGATAGTAGTCAAACGTCCAGAATCTCGGCTGTGGCTTTTCTTCCTGTAGAAGCTACAAGACACAGACTTTCAGGACCTGCCTGCTCAGCCAGGGTAAAGACAGACAGGGCATGGGATTCCTAAGAGACTCACCGATGTCCTGTCACCCTCTTCCTCCATCTCTTCGGCCCCATAGCCAATACCTGATTCCATAACCACAGCCACGTGCTCTCGTGAGGTCAGTGCATCACTTTGGCTAGTGGTAGCTGCATTTGGGGTCTCTGCCAGAAGATTTGTGGCTTCCTCGAACTCTGCGGACAGAGAATATGGGCACCCGTGTTTGGAGTCTGAAAATTCCTTTGGTCCATTCTCACCAACCTGGGCTGGGGTTGTCTCACTACCGTCCCCTAAGGACTGAGTTTCTTTCGTTTTGACGCATAGGGAAGTCTGTTCCGTCACATTTGGGGTTCAATTTAGTTCCTGGGCAGACTTGAAGGGTCGGATGTACTTCTGAGTTCACAGTGGGAGCAGGGATTGAGTCCGGGACTTCTAGTCTACGACAGGAGTAGGAGCTCAGGTCACTTCCGGGCCCCACTCACCATGGAAGGCCAGTTCATCAGTCGCTGCCATGATTCTTTAGAGGCTTCACCGCATCGCGCTCTGTAGACAGAACTGCATCAGTCCCACATCCCTCAGAACTGCTGCTTCTGCCTCGAGTCCTGCCTGGAGTCTAACACGGAGTGAGACCAGCTCCACGCCAGGGCTCTGCAGGCACACACCCCCGCCCTCCTCACCTACATCCACCTAAGCTGGCGTGGCCCGAGCTCCGTGCGCGTGCGCACGGCCAGCCTACCCGTCAGAGTCCACCCTTCTCCACGCAACGGCAATATCCGGTGCTAGTCCGTCTCCTAGAGGTTTCCAGTGAGAAACTACTTCCGGTATTTTACGCTTGCGCAGGAGGCAATTTCCAGTCCTTTTCTTTCCGATGTTATGCATTTCGACTTGGCCAACGGATTGCAGGAAAAGGATGGCGACAGCCGCTATGAGGAGATTCTGGTCCAGTGGGCGCAGTGAAGCGAGTGGTTCCGCGACGGTGGCGGCAAAGCCAGGGATGTGGGCGCGACTGGGTGAGTAGTGGCGGAAGGCGGCAGGGTGGGTGGCCCGAGTGACTGAATCACTGTCACTGCAGCGCTTCTTTCCCTCAGGCACATGGGCCCGCGCGCTGCTGCGAGATTACGCCGAGGCGTGCGGAGACGCGGCGGCCGCGGCCCGTGCCCGACCGGGCCGCGCGGCCGTGTATGTGGGGCTGCTGGGCGGCGCCGCGGCCTGCTGTGCCCTGGCACCCAGTGAGACGACCTTCGAGGAGGCCTTGCTCGACGCGTCGGGGTCTCTCTTGCTGCTGGCGCCCACCACGCGCAACCGCCACTCGGAAGCGCTTTTGCAACGCCTGCTGTGGCTGAGAGGCCGCGGGCGCCTGCGCCACGTGAACCTGGGACTCTGCTCGCTGATATACGAGGCGCCCTTCGATGCCCAGGCCAGCCTCTACCAGGCCCGCTGCCGCTACCTGCAGCCACGCTGGATCGACTTCCCCAGCCGGGTCCTCGACGTGGGCTTCGTGGGTCGTTGGTGGGTCCTGGAGAACCGCATGCGTGATTGCGACATCAACCACGACGAGTTTCTCCACCTGCCTGCACACCTCCGCGTTGTCGCGCCCCACGAGCTGCACTCTGAGGACAACGAGAGGCTGTTCGAGGAGAAGTTCGAGCCGGTCGTGCTCACCAGTGACCAGGTGGACCAGGCGCTGTGGGAAGAGCGGTTGTTGCAGAAGGAGAGAAAGGATAGACTGGCGCTGAGCGAGGCCGCTTCACTGTTGAAATCCGAGGTTTCCAGATGAAGCCCAAGGAGCCCCCTCATCTCCAGGCTCAGGCAAACTGTTGGCCACGGATGATGCAGTGGATGAGACGGAGATGAACCGCACGCACTGTGGTTTTGAGGGACTGCTTCCCCAGTAGCTGAAGCTGATTGAAAGTCCTCCTGGCATTGGAGATGGAGCACTTGACTGTTCTGTTTAACCACCAGGACTATGAGTAGGGAGCCTGTTTTGTGTAGCCTGTTGTACCTAGGAATTGTCCTTGAGTGCTAGCTTAGCTTAGTCTGGCTTCTGTTCTCCGCACTGCAAAACAGAACAAAAATGAACTTTTGCTTTGGGGTTATTGTTTATTTGGTTGGTTTTTGAAGCCAGGATTCCCATACAGCCTAGACTGCCCTTGAATCCTGCCTGAGCTCAGTCCGTCACAGTGTACATATGTAGCCCATGCGTAAGTCCTGTTCACGGGGCTACAAAGACATCCTGATTGCCACTGAGTACCAAGATGCTAAGATCACTCACATATTCACATTCTTTTTCGAGTGTTCATAAGAATTTTTAAGAAAGATCTGGCTCTGTTGCCCAGGCTAATCTAGAGTTCATGGGCACAAGTGGACCTTCCAGGAGCTGGATAGTTCAATATTCAAGAGTACTGACTAGGGGCTGGAGACATGGTTCAGAGGTTAAGAGCATTGCCTGCTCTTCCAAAGGTCCTGAGTTCAATTCCCAGCAACCACTTGGTGGCTCACAACCATCTGTAATGGAGTCTGGTGCCCTCTTCTGGCCTGCAGGCATACACACAGACAGAATATTGTATACATAATAAATAAATATTTAAAAAAAAAAAAGAGTACTGACTGCTCTTCCCTTCCAGAGAGCCTCGATTCACGTCTCCCCGTCCTCATAGGGTTTCACAAACATCTATAACTCCAGTTCAGGAAATCCGACCTTTCTCTTCTGGATTCCTTGGGCACTAGGCAGGTATGTGTTTTACAGATGTGTGTGCAGACAAGACACACACATTTAAAAAACGATCCTCCTAAACAGCCTTCCAAGGTTGGGACTACAATCCACAGTGGCCAACCTCAGATGATTCTTTTTCAGTTGGAGCTGAGATGTGCTTGTTTGGGGTTTTGTTTGTTGTGGGTTTTGGTTTGGTTTAAGACAGGGTCTGGAACTGGCTATGAAGAACAGTCTGACCTTCAACTCACAGATAACTGCCTCTGAAATTTGAATTTTGTTTTATTTTTTTTTTTTTTGTTTGATTTGTCTCTGAGACATGTTCCGACAGCCCAGACCAGCCTCACAATCAGTACGTAGCAAAGGATAACCGAATGATCCTCTTGACTACGTCCCAAATGGAGGGTGAAGAGTTTCTGTTGTATCATTGCTGAATACATTTCATTTGTCTTGTGCTAGTCAACAAGCCCTGTACCCCTAGTCTTCTTGGGGTTTTTTGTTTTGATAATTTCTTTATGTAGTCCTTGAGGCCCTTCGACTTAGCCTCTTGCTCTCTTTTTTTCCCCCCTCCAGTTTTTCAAGGTAATGTTTTTCTGTAGCTTTGGAACCTGTCCTGGAACTAGCTGTTTTGGATTCTGTCCTGGAACTAGCTCTTGTAGACCAGGCTGACCTCCACATAATCCACCTGCCTCTGCCTCCCAAGTGCTGGGATTAAAGGTGTGCACCACCACCACCCCACTGACGTAGCTTCTCTTAACTAGTAATGTTGTATATTGTCAGTATAGGAGATAGGTATGGAGGGGAGCAGATTTTACTGTCTATGTGTATGGCAGCAATTGGAAGCATGGCAGAAGGCTGGAGTGTATTCTCCTCCCACGGCCTACATGTAGTCATATGTCATCACACTGCAGTGACCATGGAAACAGTTCTGTGGAAAGGAACAAGTTGGGACATGTAGGTTGAATCTGACAAGGTTCTAGAAATCCATCTCAAGCTAACATTAGGAAAGCAAGTCTGCCAATGTCAAGTGGACCGTGACTAGTCAGTAGAAGTAGGTTCATCCTTGGTTGGGGCTTGTCTGTGGTGCCCGGACTTCACTCCCCACAGTCCTGGTGCTGTGTGTTTTGCCTCTTTCTTCTATTATCTGATGTACTGACATTGTGGTAGTTCTTTTGTTTGGTTGGGTTTTGTTTTTTTGAGGCAGGATTTCTCTTTGGAAACCTGGCTGTCCTGGCGTATGGTAGTTCTTAAATCCAGATCTGGCTAAATGAGGATGTTAATCCACATCTTAGGGACTGGCAAGGCTGCTCCACAGAAGAAGGCACATTCGGCTAAGCCCAACCACCTGAGTTCATGCCCTGGAACTCACTTGGTAAGATGAGAGAACTCCTCCAAGTTTCCCTGTGACCTCCATGCCCACAAAATAAACTGTAATAAAGGTTTCTAAAAAGTTCACATTTTCAGGGCTGGAGAGATGGTTTGGAGGTTAAGAGCACTGGCTGCTCTTCCAGGCGTCCTGAGTTCAATTCCCAGCAATCACATGGTGGTTCACAACCATCTATAGTGAAATCTGGTGCCCTCTCCTGGCCTGCAGGCACACATGCAGGCAGAACACAGTATACATAATAAATAAACCTTATTAAAAAAAATTCACATTTTCTCATTTTAGATGTTTTAATTAGCATATTTTAATGATCTGTAATAAGATTCATTAAAGCTTTTTTTTTTCTAAGAAGGGTTTCTCTGTAGCTTTGGAGCCTGTCCTGGAACTAGCTCTTGTAACCCAGGCTGGCCTTTTACTCCTCTGCCTCCTGAGTGCTAGGATTAAAGGCATGCGCCACAACTGCCCAGCTAAAGCATTTTCTTATGTGCATATAAAGTATTTTTATTTATTCACCTTCCATTACTGTCTGTTTCTTCTCTTCCCAGCTAACGTGTGTGTGTGTGTGTGTGTGTGTGTGTGTGTGTGTGTGTGTGTGTGTAGGGGTGTTCTCAGGATGTAATCCCAGCCGGCCTAGAACTTTATGTAGATCAGGCTGGCCTTGAACTAACCTAGAAATACCCTTTACCTCCCTAGAACTAGCACTTCTGTTTGCATGTCTTGTGAGTTTAAACTTGATTACAGATTCCTAGAAGCCTCTGCACTGACTTGGACACTGAGGAAATTGTTCCTCCTTCCTACAGCGGCTGTTACTGACATAAATCTTCACGGTGAGGAGGATGGGCCCAGTCTTAGGGAGTCTTGTCCAGGTGTCATAACTGCCGTGAGTTGAAGACTACAACAGCTAGGGCTGTAGGTGGCTCAGTGGGAAAGACACTTGCCATAAAGCCTGGTGACCTAAGTTTAAGCCTCAATGTTGAAATTAGGAGCGGCAGGGCTGCGTCCCCGGCACCCGGCCGCCCGCATGGCTAGTTTATACCCAGAAATAATTACACGGAAACTGTATTTCAAACTCTGCCTGGCCCGGCTAGTTCCAGCTTCTTATTGGCTAGCTCTTACATATTGTTCTAACCCATTTCTAATATTCTGTGTAGCCCATGAGCTGGCTTACCAGGGAGGATCTTAACCTGCGTCTGTCTGGAGCGGGAGAATCATGGCGACTCACTGACTCAGCTTCTTTTTCCCCAGCATTCTCTTCTGTCTACTCTGCCTACCTAATTTTCTGTCCTATGAGGGCCGAGGCAGTTTCTTTATTAGTAAGAAATCACTCCCACATCACCTCAAAACTCACTTAATAGAAGGAGATAATTCAGCAGGTTGTTCTCTGAGCTCCACATGCTTGTGAGCACATACATGTACACACAAATTTTTTTTCTTTCTTTATTATATTATATTATATACAGTATTCTGTCTGCATGTATGCATGCAGGCCAGAAGAGGGTATCAGGCCTCATTACAGATGGTTGTGAACCACCATGTGGTTGCTGGGAATTGAACTGAGGACCTTTGGAAGAGCAGGCAATGCTCTTAACCACTGAGCCATCTCTCCAGCCCCCCACAAATATTTTTTAAGTGCAACATCCTAAGTCATGCTTGAAAGTTAGTGTTTGACACCACTCTTCGGTATCTCTAACTCTTCTGTTCTTTTTGCCCATTCTTCCAGTGTTCCGTGAGCCTTATAAGGGATGAACAAGTCACACATAATTTTAAATTATTTTTATTTTATGTACCTTGGTGTTTTGCCTCCCTGTATGCCTGCATGAGACTGAAAGATTCCTTGGAACTAGAGTTACGGTTAGCTGTGAGCTGCCATGTGGGTACTGAGAATTGAACCCAGGTCCTCTGGAAGAGCAGCCAGTCCTCTGAACCACTGAGCCATTTCTCCAACCCCATGCATCCTAATTTTGCAAAGAATAAAATCAACCTTCAGATAGGGGAAGGATGGCTTAGCAGATAAAATACAATCATGCAGACCTCAGTTCAGATCTCAGCACTCACTGAAAAGCAGTGGGCACAGTTCCATACGCTGTAGGCTTGAAGACAGGGATAGATGCCAGGAGCTTGCTGGCCAGCCAGTCTAACTGAAAAAAGAGCAGTGTGGGGCAGGCACATGCCTTTGATCCCAGCATTCAAAGAAAGAGACTGATCTCTGTGAGTTCAAGACCAGCTGGTCTATGTAGTGAGACCCTATCTTTTAAGAAAAAGGTTTTAAAAAGAGGGTGGGGAATGGTGGTGTAGAGGCAGGCTAATCCTGAGTTCAAGGCCAGCCTGGTCTTCAGAAAAAAGAAAAGAAAAACAGGGTTTCTCTGTGTAATGGCTCTGTCTTGGAACTTACTCTGTTGACCAGGATGGTCTCAAGCTCACTGAAATCTTCCTGGCTTTGAGTCCCAAGTGTTAGAATTAAAGGCATACACTACTGCTGCCCAGCAATGTTTAATTTTTTAAGGTTCATTTTATGTTTGAGTGTTTTGCCTGCATTTATGCGTTATGCATGTGGATCACATAAGTGCAGTGCTCAGAGAGGTCAGAAGAGGGCAGCAGATTCCCCAGGTCTGGAGTGGTGAGCTGCTACATGGGTGCCATGAACTGACCCAGATCTGCAAGAATAATAGTGTTCTTCCACTGAGCATGTTCCCAGCTTTATATAATTTTTAAAAATCTTTTTAAAGCCAGCCAACTAACCAAATGCTTCAGTGGGTAAAAATGCTTGCCACTCAAGTCTGATAACCTGAGTTTGATCCCAAAAAGTTGTCCTCTGACCTTCAGTGTGGCATGTTCCAGCACTTTTACACAATATAAACAGCATACATAATTGAAAAGCTTTCATTAACCAATAAAAGCAACACACAGAAGGACCTCCCACACCAGGGATTTATTAGTCTAGCTTATAAGTTCTGTTCTCGAGAACCCTGACTAATAAATACATAGTCAACTTTGGGGAGAGCCTTAAGGCCCACTGATGGCAAGGTGATATGTCTCTCGTGGAAATATTCATTGTTGTATGTATATGTGTTTCACCTACATGTATGTCTGCACCATGTGTGTCTGGTGCTCACAGAGGTCAGAAGAGGGTGTTGGATCCTCTGCAACTGGAGTTACAGACAGTTGACAGCTGCCAGAGGTTGCCTGGAGTAGAACCTGGGTTCTCTGCAAGAGCAACAAATGCTCTCAACCACTAAGCCAAGTCTTCACCCTTTTTTAATTTTTTTTTTAAGTTTTTCGAAACAGGGTTTTCTCTGTAGCTTTGGAGCCTGTCCTGCAACTAGCTCTTGTAGACCAGGCTGGCCTCGAACTCACAGAGATCCGCCTGCCTCTGCCTCCCGAGTGCTGGGATTAAAGGTGTGCGCCACCACTGTCTGGCCCTTTTTTAATTTTTAAAACTTTTTGTTGGTGCACTTGTGCCACAGTGCACATATGGGAGTCATTTCTCTTTCTATCTTTGCATTAGTTCAGGCATTGAACTCTGGTTGTCAGGATTGCCCAACAAACACGTTTCCTTCCCCACTCAGCCATCTCAGTGGACCTGACCAGCAGTAGNATTATGTATACAATATTCTGTCTTTATGTCTGCAGGCCAGAAGAGGGCACCAAACCCCATTATAGATGGTTGTGAGCCACCATGTGGTTGCTGGAAATTGAACTCAGTACCTTTGGAAGAGCAGGCAATGCTCTTAAACTCTGAGCCATCTCTCCAGCCCCAAGTAGCCGCTTTTTTAAAGGGAGAGAGACCACGCCCCAATGGGCTGGTGTCTCAGCAGCTATTGGTTGGAGAAGCAGAAAGACCTCCCACACTTATTACTACAAATGGCTGCCCAACATGAGGATAACTGAATCCACAAAAAGCCTGAGAAAGCTTGGGAAAGAATAGAGTGAAGCATGTTTTCTTGGTAGCAGCGATTTCTTGAGTCTGCTCTGCTTGCTAGAGGCAAGCAAGCGCTCTCATCTAAGAGAGGCTTCCTGACTCAGCTTTAGCTGCAAAACCCTGCAGCTCATTAAGAGGTCCTGCCACAAAACACTTAAACGGTGTTGGTGAAAAGCTGAATGCATGCTTTTAGGTTTTCAGCCATAGCAGGAAAAAAGTTGTGCTGTTTTAAAATGCCGGCTTTCTGGGCCGTCCTGCCAGGGCAAACTCTGTTTGAGGCAGGAGGGCCGGCTACAGAGAGAGGACTTGAGTGTTGTCTGTTGTAGCTCGCCGGCTGGCAGGGACCTTGAAATGCCATAGAGTTTTGGCAGTAAACATGGCTACAGCCTGTATATCCGCCATGAGGCTGGAAAGCTAAGGAATGGACTGGATCTAGCCGGCAAAGCCACGGCTTTAGTCCTACTGATATTGCTTGGTAAATTAAAGACTCATGTGGTCAGAAAAAGAGAGATTCAAAGACAATTTCTAAATGGTTTACAGTGTGTTAAAAATATATGCAAGCTAAAAGTTAAAAGTTCTTAAAAGTAAAAAAAAAAAGCAAGAAAGAAAGTAGTTGGGTTTGGTAGCACACGCCTTTAATCCCAGTGCCTAGAAGGCAGAGACAAACAGATCTCTCTGAGTTCAAGGTGTAGTAGCTTACACCTTTAATCCCAATGCCTGGGAGGCCGAGACAGGTGGATCTCTGAGAGTTCAAGGACAGCCTGGTCTACAGAGTTATTCCAGAACAAAGATACAGAGAATATAAAATAAAAGTAAAAATAAACGAAATAGAGATTAAAATAAAGCGTACAAAGATGGAAAATACACAGAGAATCTTGATACTATATGCTATTATGCTCTCTTTGAATTGTTTGAATGCTGAGGAAGGAGTAACAGCTGCCAAAAGATATTTGTTTATAAATGCTGCTGAACTAATCCAAGATAGATATTTTGAAAATGCTTCAGAATTTTGATCTAAGGACATAATGCTTTGGAAAGGAGTTTCTTATTTTGTTTTCACAGAGGGTGAGAGTCTGTGGATTTCTTCTATCTGAATATGGTATGATGGACCACGCCCTCCTGAAAGGTTGCAGTGAACACCTTCAGAAAATTACTTCACTTAACTGTCGAACTGCCGACTGAGATGACCCTGGCACACAGGTTATATCGTGAAAGACCTAATTAACGACGCCCCTATTCAGCAGGAAGCAGTTTGGAGAGAAATAACTGTGCCCATATTCCCAAATATTGTTTATAACTGTTCTTTTACATTTAAAGGGGGATATGATATAGATATGAATAATTTGCATTGGTATGGATTTTAAGGTCAATTNTGCAACTAGCTCTTGTAGACCAGGCTGGCCTCGAACTCACAGAGATCCGCCTGCCTCTGCCTCCCGAGTGCTGGGATTAAAGGTGTGCGCCACCACTGTCTGGCCCTTTTTTAATTTTTAAAACTTTTTGTTGGTGCACTTGTGCC